TCATAAACAACTTAGAAACTGAAATCAAATTCTTTCTAAAACTGGGAACATAAAGAAAATCTTTCAAAACTAGAAACCTATCTAAGCTAAAATCTAAATAGACATCTCCCACTGCAACTGCTGACGCTCTACTAGCATCGCCAAAGTAGATGGTAACCTCTCCTTCCCTAAGTCGCTTGGTTTCCTGGAACCCCTGCAATGAATTGCAGACATGATCAGTGGCCCCTGTATCTACACACCAAGTACTGGTAGATAACACCGCTAAACATGTTTCAACGACTAAAGCAAAAGGAGTACCTTTTTCGGGTTTCTTGGGAAGAGGGCAGTTTGCCTTCCAGTGTCCTTTCTGCTGACAGTTGTAGCACTTGTCGCTTCTTTGCCTTTTGTCGAGGTTGCGCGTCACTCATGACCGCTTTGCCCTTTCCTGCGGACTTCTTCCTCTTCTTGCCCTTAGGAGCCTTAGAAGTGGAAGCTTCTCCCCGCTGGGCTACCAAGGCTTGGGTCTTCTGACGAAACAGGCCCTCTGCCGCCTGAAGCTCAGCAACAAGTTCCGGAAGAGTCATCAACATCTTATTCATGTTATAATTCAACCGGAATTGCTCGAAGCTCTTCGACAAATACTGGAGCACTATATCGACCTGGGTTTCCCCGTCAATAAAAGCCCCAAGAACCTCCAGCTCATTCGGCTGGGCCATCATAGCAAGAACATGTTCCCTTACGAAAGTGCCCTCACGCATGGTCATGTTCATCAGAACCCTCATGGCTTCTTGTCAGGCAGCCCACGACTGATGACCAAATAACTCATTGAGATTGAGAAGCATCTCTGCTGCAGTGTTCATAGACTGATGTTGATGTTGAAGTACATATGACAAAGATGCCAAGATGTAACACTTCGCCATCTCGTCAGCCTTTATCCACCGAGCATACTTCTCTTTCTCTTGGTCTGGTGCATTGTCAGCAGACACAGCCGGACAAGCCTCAACAGTAGCAAATTTGTACCCTTCAGCAGTTAACACTATATCCAAGTTTCTTTTCCAGTCAATATAATTGGGACCAACAAGTTTGTTTTCTTTGAGAATTACGGACAACGGATTGAAAGAAATTTTGAATTCCTGGGATCATGCAAACATAGTCTTTACTCAGTCAAGTAGTTTTGAATTTATACATCAAATATTGATCCCATTAAACAATTTGAATAAATTCACCAACACCTCAAAACACCGAATCCCCGCAGGCCAAGGAGTGTGGATGTCTACGGTTCAAACATTCGCAAGAGGAGGGATAAATCCCATTAGCTTAAAATACTGCCGAGCAATACTTAACTAATAGTCGGTTTCATCTTTTGGCCAACGCTATTAACTTTTTAAAAGAATAACTTTATAAAAGAATAAAAACGACCTTGTCCTTTGGGACTATCGTAATTATTTGCACTTTAAGCGTAACCCATTAATTGGTACTAAGTTTACTACCAAAATCATACGTCCACCTTTGGGTGACCCGTACGATTTTGAAATAGCTCACTATAACCATCCCGAAGGAGATTCATCCTTGTGAACTGTGA